GTAACGTGAGGGTTTAGGGAACTGGAGGGTTTGTTTAAGGTAAAATGTGAGGTGTTGTAAGGTAAGTGAGGGGGTTTAAAGGTAACTGTGAGGTTTGTAAAAGGAAAAGTGAGGTGTTGTAAGGGGGAACGTGAGGGTTGTAAGGGAAATGTAGGTGTTGTAAGGTAATGTGAGGGGTTTTTAAGGGAACTGTAATATTGTAAGGGAAAAGTGAGGTGTTGTAAGGTAACGGAGGTGTTTTAAGGTAATGTGGGGTGTTGTAAGGAACTGTAGGTTTTAAGGTAACTGTGAAGGTAGGTAACTGGAGGGGTTTGGAAGGTAAACTGTGAGGGTTTTAATGTAACTGTAGGTGTTGTAAGGGAACTGTGAGGTGTTGTAAGGAAACGTAAGGGGGTTTTTTAAGGGAACTGTGAAAGGGTTTTTAAAAACGTGAGGTTTGGGAAAATAATGGAGTTTTTGTAAGGTAACTGTGAGGTGTTGTAAGGTAACGGTGAGGGTGTGGGAAAGGAAAGTGAAGTTTGTAAGGTAACGTGAGGGGGTTTTTAAGGTAACGTGAGGTTTGTAAAGGGAACTTTGAAAAAGTTGTAGGTAAATTGAGGTGGTTTGTAAGGTAAATTTTAGGTGTTTGTAAAAGGTAAATGTGAGGTTTGTAATTAAAATGTGAGGTGTTGAAGGGGAACTGTGAGGTGTTGTAAGGGAACTGTGAGGGGTTTTTAAGGTAACTGGAGGTGTTGTAAGGTACTTGAGGTTTGTAATGTAATGTGAGGTTTTTGTAAAGGAAATGTGATGTTGTAAGTAACTGGGGGGAAGTGTTGTAAGGTAACTGGAGGTGTTTTTTCCCTTAATGTTTCCCGTTTATTTTTTATTTTTAAAACTCCTTAATTTTTGAATACAAAAGTTTGAAATTTTCCTTTTTTAAGTTTGTGATTTGTGTAAAAAGTTTTTTTATCTTATTTTTTTTAATATTATTTAAATTAATAAATTTGTAATAATTATTTTAATAAATATTATTAATTTAATTTTAATAATTAATTTTATTAATGTGAAAGGGTTTTTAAAAATTTTTTTTTGAACCTTTGATTTTGAATGGAGGTTATTTTGGGTTTTTTTAAAGGCTTATTTTTATTTTAACAAATTTTTTTTTAAACATGAAGGTTTTGAAGGACTGTTAAATTTTTTGAAAGGGGAAATTTTTTAAATAACTTTGAAATTGTAAGAAAGATATCCGGGAGGTTAAAAATTTGATTAATGTTGAGGTTGTTTTCCCCTTGGTTTTTAAAATTTAAAAAATTTTAAAATTTTTTGGTATTTAAATTTTGGAAAAAAGTTAAAATCTTAAATTTTGTTTAGGTTTGTAGTCTGTTTTAATCATTTTTTTTTTTTTTAATGAAAGGTACCTTTTTTAAGGAAATTTTAATGTTTTAAAAGGAACGGGTGTTGTGTTAACTTATTTTAATAATTGAGATTTGTTTAAACGAAAATTACTTAATGTGTATAACGGTTTTAAGTCGGAAAGTTTTTGGGTTTTGTAAATAATTTTTAAGGGTTAAATTAATGTTTAACTTTGTTATTTTATGTTAAATTTGGGGTTTGGTTATTTAAATGTTATGGACCGTGGGTTTTTTTAACTTTTTTAAGTTACTGAATTTTTTTAAGTTTTTAGTTTGATTTTTCTGGGTTTTTTTGTTTGTTGTAATTTTTAATTAGTGTTTTTCTTTATAAGCTTTTTGTTTTTTTTATTTTAACACAGTATTTTATTACAACAGCACGTTTTCATTTTTTTCATTAGTGTTTTCTTTAATTATTCCTGTTTATTCATTTTATTGCCATATTTTAAAAAAAAATAAAAAATAAATAAAAAAAATTAAAATATAAATATAAATTAAAAAAAAATAATAATAATAAAAAATATAATAAAATAATATAATAATAAAATAATAATAATAATAATAATAATATATCTTTATTTACTACAAGTATATGTACAAGGTATACAGACCATAGCTGACATCAATAACATACTACTACACAGAAAGCCGGTTTTTATGCTGAGCATTTCCCGCAAATTAGGTCAGTTTTGTCCCAGGATGCGACCCACACCAGTACACTAACACCCAGGTACCAATTTTATACTGATGGGTTAACAGGGACAGCAGGTGTCTTATGGAAACACGTCCCTAAAGTTGTCCAGCCGTACCGGGGATTCAAACTCCGGACCTCAGTTTGTGAGTTACTGTATAAATCGTAATAAACTGTCCTTGTATTCTGTATCAACTATTCGTATAAATGTTATATTGTTTTTAAATATTAACTGTTATTTTTATTAAACTCGATTTTAGCTGCTCGGTGTTTACTGTGTAAATTATTCAGTAATAATTAAGTTGTGTAAGTAAATAGAATCAAAGACATTTTTGAAAAAAAAAAAAATTACGTAATGTAACCTAACTTAATCTCTAAATTATACCTTTAGTAGATTAAGTTTAGTTAGGGTTACATTAGGTTAGGTTCGTTTATCAAAGAAAATTTTTCCGACGGCCCAAAATATTAATTTGGTTGATGTCCGCTTGGCGTTGCAGTATCATCAGTGGAGGACACTATAATGCAAATTCGGGTGTCCTCTGCAAAGGACACGGTGCTGTGGCTTACATCCCTGTCTGTCATATATGAGGAAGAGGAAAAGGACGGGAGCGAACACTGTGTTATGTGGGACAGAGCTTGTCACTGTAGCCTCCTCAGACTTTACTGTTTACTATTACTCTTTGTGTTCTGTTTGTTAGGAAGTTATAGATCAATCTACCAACTTTTCCTGTTATTCCTTTATCACTCATTTTGTGCGCTGTTACACCATGGTCGCACTTTTCGAGGACTCACAAAGTCTGAGTACACTACATCTGAATTTTGTTTGTCCTCCAGTGCATCCAGGACCTTGTCATAGTGGTCCAGTAGTTGGGACAGGCAGGAGCGACCTGCTCTAAACCCGTGTTACCCTGGGTTGTGTAACTGTTAGGTATCTACATAGATGAGGGGCGATCTTACTTCTTAGAACCCTTCCAAAGATTTTTATGATACCTGGAGTTTACCTGGAGAGAGTTCCGGGGGTCAACGCCCCCGCGGCCCGGTCTGTGACCAGACCTCATGGTGGATCAGAGCCTGATCAACCAGGCTGTTACTGCTGGCTGCACGCAATCCAATGTACGAGTCACAGCCCGGCTGGTCAGGTACCGACTTTAGGTGCTTGTCCAGTGCCAGCTTGAAGACAGCCCAGGGGTCTATTGGTAATCCCCCCTTATGTATGCTGGGAGGCAGTTGAACAGTCTTGGGCCCCTGACACTTATTGTATTGTCTCTTAACGTGCTAGTGACACCCCTGCTTTTCATTGGGGGGATGTTGCATCGTCTGCCGAGTCTTTTGCCTTCGTAGTGAGTGATTTTCGTGTGCAAGTTCGGTACTAGTCCCTCTAGAATTTTCCAGGTATATATAATCATGTATCTCTCCAACCTGCGTTCTAGGGAATACAGGTTCAGGAACCTCAAGCGCTCCCAATAATTGAGGTGTTTTATCTCATGCGCGCTGTGAAGGTTTTCTTTACATTTTCTAGGTCAGCAATTTCACCTGCCTTGAAAGGTGCTGTTAGTGTGCAGCAATATTCAAGCCTGGATAAAACAAGCGACCTGAAGAGTGTCATCATGGGCTTGTCATCCCTAGTTTTTAAGGTTCTCATTATCCATCCTGTCATTTTTCTAGCAGATGCGATTGATACAATGTTATGGTCCTTGAAGGTGAAATCCTCCGACATGATCACTCCCAGGCCTTTGACGTTGGTTTTTCGCTCTATTTTGCGGCTGGAATTTGTTTTATACTCCGATGAAGTTTTAATTTCCTCGTGTTTACCATATCTGTGTAATTGAAATTTCTCATTGTTGACCTTCATATTGTTTTCTGCAGCCCACTGAAAGATTTGGTTGGTGTCCGCCTGGAGCCTTGCAGTGTCTGCAATGGAAGACACTGTCGTGCATATTCGGGTGTCATCTGCAGAGGAAGACACGGTGCTGATGTGGGATGTTAGCTTTATCAGTCTGTTATTCTTCCCTATTGCTTTACTGCCCCTTTGTGGATTGGAGGTATGTCGTTTTTAGTGACTGTGGGATGACCCTTGTGTCCATGTTCCCTCTCTATAGGATGCTAAAGGCACGTGACAGGGGCTTCTTGCAGTTCTTGATGAATACGGAGTTCCACTATCCTGAGCCTGGGGCAGAGTGCATGGGCATGTTATTTATTGCCTTTTCGAAGCCATGTGGTGTTAGGATAATATCAGAAATATTTGAATTGACCAAATTCTGAGTCTCGGTCATACAAAAATAATTTAGGTCATCGACTCTTAGTCTGGTTAGCGACTGACTTAACACCAAGTCTTATATGCTTACTACTAGAACAGGATATGGTTCAAGTGTAAATCATTGCGAGCGTAAATCACTTTGGAAATGTTGTAATGACGATGTAAAAGGGTGATATAAAGCAGCATTAACAAGCACTAGGTGTGTATGAAGGTTGATGTTAAGCTGGAGTCGCGTGTGGGCAACACTACACATCTGGAGATGCTGTTTACACTGGGATTTTCCGGCTTTCAAATTTTGTAATAACATTCACAAACTTATATATACATAGACAGTAAGTAACCCTCCATTTTTTATTATTAAGAAAAATATTAAAGTCAATATAAACAGGTGTAGTATTTACAGCGCTTAACTTATATTTTACAAGGGTTTGTCAAATGGTGGAATATTTCGAGCACATGTAAATAATTGTTTTATGGTGTTGTATTTTGTTATTATTGTACCTAAGGAACGCAGGTGAGTTTAACACAAAGTTAGAGTATAATACAGTACTTTAAATGATAGAGTAGGCCCAGAAAGTGTATATATGTTATCAGTAACATGTGCATGAAGTGTAATGTTGGAATGGTATATATAGGGTGGCCAGCGTCGTCTGCACTCAGTCGGCATCATGAGCTCAGGAGAGGCAGATACTATCGAGTTAGACTCGTCGTCGTCACGCATCCAGGTGGCCTCCGGGCTAGATACTGGTGACGATGGCCATTTGTCTCCTACAACACACTCCAACAGTGTGTACGAGACTAGGTATCAAAAGTCTCTTCGACATTATTTGACGCGTGAAGCATTACCCAAAGAATCGCATTACAGAAACCTGAATTCCATTGTTGATGGATCCATGAGACCAACACTGGACGACCTGCACCACAACACTCTCAGAGAACAACAGGTAAGTTACAACACAGTGTTGAGTGCTAGCAACACCAGTCTTCACCTCCAACACTCACCGCTGAACTTATAACCATCTTAGACAAGTTGTTGTTCGGGTATATTTTACGTGACGTGAAAACCTTGGCGATGTAAAATAATAACATCCAGCATGTTACTCAGAACTTGCTGTTAACTCTTGTTTTGGGGCAGAATTGTTCACACTGTTACTAAAACTAAGTTATAGTGTCCTACTGATAATTATCACTCACTCTTATAACTAACACTATCACTCACTATATATATATAATATATATATATATATATATATATATATATATATATATATATATATATATATATATATATATATATATATTATATATATATTACACTTAATAGTGAGTGATGGTGCTAGTTATAACAATGAGTGGTAGTACTGGTTGTAACAGTGAGTGGTAGTACTGGTTGTAACAGTGAGTGGTAGTACTAGTTATAACAATGAGTGGTAGTACTGGTTGTAACAGTGAGTGGTAGTACTAGTTGTAACAATGAGTGGTAGTACTGGTTGTAACAGTGAGTGGTAGTACTAGTTGTAACAATGAGTGGTAGTACTGGTTGTAACAGTGAGTGGTAGTACTGGTTGTAACAGTGAGTGGTAGTACTAGTTATAACAATGAGTGGTAGTACTGGTTGTAACAGTGAGTGGTAGTACTGGTTGTAACAGTGAGTGGTAGTACTAGTTATAACAATGAGTGGTAGTACTGGTTGTAACAGTGAGTGGTAGTACTAGTTGTAACAATGAGTGGTAGTACTGGTTGTAACAGTGAGTGGTAGTACTAGTTGTAACAATGAGTGGTAGTACTGGTTGTAACAATGAGTGGTAGTACTAGTTGTAACAATGAGTGGTAGTACTGGTTGTAACAATGAGTGGTAGTACTGGTTGTAACAGTGAGTGGTAGTACTGGTTGTAACAGTGAGTGGTAGTACTAGTTTATAACAATGAGTGGTAGTACTGGTTGTAACAGTGAGTGGTAGTACTAGTTGTAACAATGAGTGGTAGTACTGGTTGTAACAGTGAGTGGTAGTACTAGTTAGTAACAATGAGTGGTAGTACTGGTTGTAACAATGAGTGGTAGTACTGGTTGTAACAGTGAGTGGTAGTACTAGTTATAACAATGAGTGGTTACTGGTTGTAACAATGAGTGGTAGTACTGGTTGTAACAGTGAGTGGTAGTACTAGTTATAACAATGAGTGGTAGTACTGGTTGTAACAATGAGTGGTAGTACTGGTTGTAACAGTGAGTGGTAGTACTAGTTATAACAATGGGTGGTAGTACTGGTTGTAACAGTGAGTGGTAGTACTAGTTGTAACAATGAGTGGTAGTACTGGTTGTAACAGTGAGTGGTAGTACTAGTTGTAACAATGAGTGGTAGTACTAGTTGTAACAATGAGTGGTAGTACTGGTTGTAACATTGGAGTGTAGTACTAGTTGTAACAATGAGTGGTAGTACTAGTTGTAACAATGAGTGGTAGTACTGGTTGTAACAGTGAGTGGTAGTACTGGTTGTAACAGTGAGTGGTAGTACTAGTTGTAACAATGAGTGGTAGTACTAGTTGTAACAATGAGTGGTAGTGCTAGTTGTAACAGTGAATGGTGGTGCTAACTGTAATAATGAGTGCTGGTGCTAATTGTAACAATGTGTGGTGGTGCTAACTGTAACACTGAGTGGTGGAGTTGTAACAATGAATTATGGTGCTTGTAATAATGAGTGGTGGCGCTAGTTGTAACAGTGAATGGTAGTGCTAGTTGTGACAGTGGGTGGTGGTGCTAGTTGTAAGTGTCGTAGTGCTAATTTTAACAATGAGTGATGGTGCTAGTTGTAACAATGAATTGTGATACTAGTTGTAACAATGAATGGTGATAATAGTTGTAACAATGAATTGTGATACTAGTTGTAACAATGAATGGTGATAATAGTTGTAACAATGAATGGTGATAATAGTTGTAACAATGAATGGTGATACTAGTTGTAACAATGAATGGTGATAATAGTTGTAACAATGAATGGTGATAATAGTTGTAACAATGAATGTTGATAAGAGTTGTAACAATGAATGGTGATAATAGTTGTAACAATGAATGGTGATAATAGTTGTAACAATGAATGGTGATAATAGTTGTAACAGTGAATGGTGATAATAGTTGTAACAATGAATGGTGATAATAGTTTTTGTAACAATGAATGGTGATAATAGTTGTAACAATGAATGGTGATAATAGTTGTAACAATGAATGGTGATACTAGTTGTAACAATGAATGGTGATAATAGTTGTAACAGTGAATGGTGATAATAGTTTTAACAATGAATGGTGATAATAGTTGTAACAATGAATGGTGATAATAGTTGTAACAATGAATGGTGATAATAGTTGTAACAATGAATGGTGATACTAGTTGTAACAATGAATGGTGATAATAGTTGTAACAGTGAATGGTGATAATAGTTTTAACAATGAATGGTGATAATAGTTGTAACAATGAATAGTGATAATAGTTGTAACAGTGAATGGTGATAATAGTTGTAACAATGAATGGTGATAATAGTTGTAACAATGAATGGTGATACTAGTTGTAACAATGAATTGTGATAATAGTTGTAACAGTGAATGGTGATAATAGTTGTAATAATGAATGGTGATAATAGTTGTAACAATGAATAGGTAGCTGTATAAAGATTTAAGATAAGATAAGATTTCGTTCGGATTTTTAACCCCGGAGGGTTAGCCACCCAGGATAACCCAAGAAAGTCAGTGCGTCATCGAGGACTGTCTAACTTATTTCCATTGGGGTCCTTAATCTTGTCCCCCAGGATGCGACCCACACCAGTCGACTAACACCCAGGTACCTATTTGCTGCTAGGTGAACAGGACAACAGGTGTAAGGAAACGTGTCAAATGTTTCCACCCGCCGGGAATCGAACCCGGGCCCTCCGTGTGTGAAGCGGGAGCTTTAGCCACCAGACCACCGGGTCACCACTTGTAAGATGTTGCAAGAAACCAAGGAGTAGCTCCTTAATTATCTTAATGCCATTAAAGGATATTTAGTTAATAGTTTCAATAATGTACGTACGTATGTAGCCCAGTGGTAGTGCGTTCGACTTACAAACGACGGACCCGGCTTCAAACTTGGGCCATTCGGGACATGTGGGTATGTCTCTGGACATCTGCTGCTTCTGCTCTCCTACCTTTTCCTTTACACCTATGAATTTCGAGTTTTAACTACTCCCGGAACCCGGCCCTACGCCAGGTTCCGGGAGTAGTTAAAACTCGCTTGCCTGGTCAGTCAGGCAAGTTAGCTTGCTGGTGGCACGCTAGCCCACCTATCCACAGCCTGGTTGATCTGGCACTTGGTGGAGATGCCCAGTTTCCTACTGAGGACTTTTACACCTGTACCAGCAGTGTTTCTGATATCTTCTGGTAAACCTGTTAGTAAATAGATACCCCGATATCGATACACTTGGAGTAGGCCAAGCAAAAGACTGGGCAGGCGATGCAACATACCTCAATGAAAAGTGGGGCGCCATCAGTACACTAAGAGAAAACACAATAAGTTCCCTGGCTGCCTTCAAGAGGGAGCTGGACAGATGCCTAAAGTTAGTGCTGGATCAGCCTGGCTGTAGTTCGTACACTGGACTACGTGCGGCCAGCAGTAATAGCCTAGTTGATCAGGCCCTGATCCAATGGGAGGCCTGGTCATTTACCGGGCCGCGGGGGCGTTGATCCCCAGAATACCTTTCAGGCAGACTCCATGTAGGCCATAAGGACCTTAGTGGAAATAAGCCACACTGTTTTGTTGTCTTTGGTTGTCCTAGACTATTAACCCTCCTGGATATATAGAGTACATATTCTTCAGATAACATAGCGACTCCGGGTTATGCAAATATAAAGCCTCAGAATGCTAGCGAGGCGTGCTAGTAGTGTTGAAGACACCACATCAGGCGGGAGTAGTTTGTGCCATCACTCGAAGATTGTAGTAATTTATTAACCTGGAGGGTTACTACCCAGGGTTACCTGGAGGTTACCTGGAGGTTATTCCGGGGATCAACGCCCCCGCGGCCCGGTCCATGACCAGGCCTCCCGATGGATCAGGGCCTGATCAACTAGGCTGTTACTGCTGGCCGCACGCAGTCCAACGTACGAGCCACAGCCCGGCTGATCGGCATTGACTTTAGGTATCTGTCCAGCTCTCTCTTGAAGACAGCCAGGGGTTTATTGGCAATTCCCCTAATGCTTGATGGGAGGCTGTTGAACAGTTTTGGGCCCCGGACACTTATGGTGTTTTCCCTTAGTGTACCATTGGGGCCACTACTTTTTATTGGGGGCATTTTGCATCGCCTGTCCAGTCTTTTACTTTCGTAGGGAGTGATTTCTGTGTGCAGTTTTGGGGGACCATTCCTTCCAAGATTTTCCAAGTGTAGATTATGATATCTCTCTCCTCCTGCGTTCCAACGAGTACAAGTCAAGTGCTTCCAAGCGTTCCCAGTAGTTAAGGTGCTTGACAGAACTTATACGTGCAGTAAAGGATCTCTGTACACTCTCTAGATCTGCGATTTCACCTGCTTTGAATGGAGATGTTAATGTACAGCAGTATTCCAGCCTAGAGAGAACAAGTGATTTGAAAAGGATCATCATGGGCTTGGCATCTCTCGTTTTGAAAGTTCTCATTATCCATCCTATCATTTTCTTTGCACGTGCGATCGTGGCACTGTTGTGACCCAAGAAAGCTCCTATGTCTGGGTTATTTTCATTGGGATTATTTCATCCTCTTTCTCAGGATGCGACCTATAATAGTCGGCTGACACCGAGGTACCTACTTACTGCTAGGTGAACAGGCACAGCAGACGTAAGGAAGTACGTCTAATGTTTCTATTTGTGCCATCGTTTAACTCAATTTCTTCAGATGCGAGTCAAATACGAAACCACTTGAGCCACGAGTACTCACAGTACAATGAAGACT